TTAGGTATCAAGAAGAAGAAGAAAACGACGATGGAGAGGAAGAAAGGGTAAAATGAGAGGCATCAAGAAGAAGAAGAAGAAGAAGAAGAAGAAGAAGAAGGAAAAGAAAGGATAAAAATGACTGGCGTCAAGAAGAAGAAGAAGGGATAAAAATGCCTGGTACCAAGAAGAAGAAGAAGGAGAAAAAGGCGAGGAGGAAGAAGAAAGGCTAAAATGGTATGTATCAAGAAGAAGAAGAAAACAAAGAGGAGAAGAAGAAGAAAGGGGAAATGACAAGCGTCAAGAAGAAGAAGAAGAAGAAGAAGAAGAAGAAGAAGAAAGTGTAAAATGGTAGGTACCAAGAAGAAGAAGAAGAAGAAAGAATGCTAAAATGGTAGGTATCAATAAGTAAAAGATGAAGAGGAAGAAGAAAGGGTAAAAAAAGATGACTCGTGAGTAGGAGGAGGATTGAAAGAAAATAAATGCAATAAATATAAATGAAAATACGTGCAAGAAAAGAAGAAGAAGAAAAGAAGAAGAAAAAAGAAGAAAGGGGAACAACAAGAACAGCAATAATACAAAAGCTAAATGAACAATAATAAGACGTAAAGAAAAAAAATATGGCTGGCGTCAGAAGAAGAAACGGAGAAATAAGGCGATGGAAAATAAGAAGATCATAAAATACAATAACATTCCACCTATTGTCCCGTAGAACAATAAGCTACTGGATTAAAGCATAAGTTCGTGAATTTTGTGACATAGTTATTGTGAGTTCAAATCCCAGGGGCGGATAGAGTGTACTTGGTCTCAGTGGAAATTAAGTGAGCAATAATTGAACAGTACTAAAAACAAGATCAAGACGAGATATGACGAGACAGGGTCAGTGGAACGAGAACAATCTGGGCCCGTAGATTAAATAACAGTGCAGTTAGAAATTCCCTATAGGCCACTCCGATGGATGTACACCTGATGAAGGTGGGAGGGCACAACGGCCGAAAAGTTGTGATAACAACAATAATAATGCAGACAATAGTCCGCATGTTAAGGAATAATAAATAATAATAATAAATAAATAATAATCATAGAATAAATCAAAATAAATAATAAATAATTAAATTAATAAATAATAAAAACTAATGAATAAATAAGGAATAAATAAATAAAAATTAAGAAATAAATAAGAAATAAATAAATAAGAAATAAATAAACAAACAAATAAATAAATAAAATAAATAACTAACTAAATAAATATTAAATAAATAATGAATAAAAAACCAATAAATAAACAAACACAATAAATAAATAATAAATAAAACATAAACAAATAGTAAATAACTAAATAACTAAATAAATAAAAAATAATAAATAAATAAGAAATAAATAAAAATAATAAATAAATAAGAAATAAATAAATAAGAAATAAGAAATAAATAAACAAACAAATAATAAATAAATAATGAATAAATAATAACTAACTAAAAATAAATAAATAATGAATAAAAAATAATTAATAAATAAACACAATAAATAAATAATAAATAAAACAAATAGTAAATAACTAACTAAATAAATAAAAAAAAAATAAGAAATAAATAATAAATAAATAAAAATAATAAATAAATAAGTAAATAAAAATAAAAACAAATTTAAATAAATAAATAATAAATAAATAAACAAACAAATATTAAATAAATAATAATTAACTTAATAAATAATAAATAAATATTGAATAAAAATAATAAATAAATAATAAATAAACAAATAGTAACTAACTAACTAAATAAATAAATAAAAAATAAGAAATAAATAAAAAATTAATATACAAATAAGAAATAAATAATGATTAAATAAATAATAAATAAAACATAAACAAATAGTAAATAAATAAATAAAAAATAAGAAATAAATAATAAATAAATAAGAAAAGAAACATAAACAAATAAGAAATAAATAATAAATAAATATATAAATAAATAAAAATAAACAAAGAATTTTACATAATGACAACTTCTCATTTCAGAAGTTTTCACAGCCAAAAGAAATGAGAAGAAGCGTGGAAATTAGAACAGAAGAAAGAAAACAAGGAAGAAACATAAAAAATGGACAAGGTAGCCAAAGATGAAGGAGAAAAAAGGCATTAATTCCGCAAGGAAAAAAAATACAGGCTCCTGCAGAATTACCTCCCGTATTTCAAACATGCGTTTGCTGTTGAAACGTTTTTTTTTTTAAGACAAGTCAATCCGTGCAACGTAGACAACATTTTGTGCTCATTTCATGTTACGTCAGAATTATGTTGTTCAGAATTAAAAAAAATCGATTCTGCTATGGGTTAAAAATTTCAGTGCCACAGGTTTAGCGCTAAAAAGAAAGCCAAGTTGAAGACATTGAAGCGCGCGAAATTCCGGCTGATGGAATACTTGAGAAATCATCTACAACAGTTTATGGCGAATAAAAACCACAATTTAGAGGTTGTCATTTTCAAAAACAATTAAATAAAACATTTACTATTTACATTATTCTGACTATTGTCATCTTTATTGCCATATTTATCACAATGTTTCCTTCCTTCTTTTTAGAAAACTGGCCACAAAGCAGCATCATGCATCATAGAGTCTTTAAGAATAATAATACTAATATATACTACGCATTAATTAACAGATGCTGGGTATTTTCGCATGATTAAATTAGTTGGTTGATTTTCACTATTTACATTATTCAGACTATTGTCCTCATTTTTGTCGCCATATTTATTACAACGTTTCGGCCGTTGTACGCTACGGCCTTCTTCAGGTGGTTGGAATGTCGAATTGAACCTTTTATTTCGCTCGTTATGGTAGGCTCTTCTAGTTCCACGTGCCATGTCTAATTTCGCATGATTAAATTGGTTGGTTGATTTTCACTATTTACAATATTCGGACTATTGTCCTCATTTTTGTCGCCATATTTATTACAACGTTTCGGTTGCACGCTCCGGCCTTCTTCAGGTGGTTAGAATGTCGAATTGAACCTTTTATTTCGCTCGTTATGGTAGGCTCTTCTAGTTCCACGTGCCATGTCAAATTTCGCATGATTAAATTGATTGGTTGATTTTCACTATTTACATTATTCGGACTATTGTCCTCATTTTTGTCGCCATATTTATTACAACGTTTCGGTCGTTGTACGCTACGGCCTTCTTCAGGTGGTTAGAATGTCGAATTGAACCTTTTATTTCGCTCGCTTGAGTAGGCTGTTCTAGTTCCACGTGCCATGTCTAATGGATGTCAGCTCTGAGGTTAGGGTCATCTGCAGAAGATAAATGTGGGTTATATAATTTAGACATGGCAGTATAACGTGCATTGAATGACGATAAACTTCATCCTGCAGCAAGGCTTATATTTGGAATGTTGGAACACTGACACAAGGAGCCAGCACCTGTTAAGGTCCCGGCTATAGGCAAATAGTGGACCTCCAAAAAAAACACTTTGAAGATATAAAAACATATATTGGTAGTAAAATTAATATGCCACTAAAAATCAACCAAACAAACTGCCAACACGAAAAACTCTTTCATGACATATAATATCCTACAATTTCTTAAAGATATCAAATTGTATTTCAACATATAACTTCAACAAATCCGCATTATTACTATATCCATACAGATATGTGTATGCACAAAAGCGGAGTATTATCTACCATGTATTCAATTGTGAAAGCAGAATAACGTAGATAATATTTCTATTACTTCAAAGCTTCCAAGAAAATTAAATTTTGGTATGAAATGACCCATGAAGGAGTTTAATCAAATCAACCAATAACGTGCATTGAAAAATTATTCTATCCTAGTTGATATTACCAGTTGCTGCTTCAAAACAATTTTAATAACTGTATTAATTACAGTACTTGTCATAAAACGACCCCCTTCTTGGGATAAAGGTCTTAGGGTTTTAAGAAATCATAGTTGAGGAATTAGATACTTTATTCATTTTGGCTTTTTGGACATCAAATAGAATAACTCTCTCAAAATAGTCGCTTTTTGTACCCCTTTTCTCAAATGGGAGAAAGGTCTTAGGGTTTTAATGAAATCATAGGGAAAGTTGAGGAATTAGAAATACTTTAAGGATTTTTGGTTTAGAGGAAGGATTTTGGACATCAAATAGGAAGGATTTAGGGAAATATATATATATATATATATATATATATATATATATATATATATTTGCCGCCCTTACCTCTCAAAATAGTCGCTCTTTTGTATCTCTTAGAGGAAGGATTATAGGAAATTTTTTTTTAGGGAAATTGTCTTTCTCAAATGGAAAAAGGGGAGGGAAATGAAAAAGGAAATAGAGGAAGGATTATAGGGAAATGAAAGGTGGGAAAGGGAAAGTAGAGGAAGGAAAGGAAATGAAAGGTAGAAGTATAGGGTAGAGGAAAAGAAAGGTAGAAGTATAGGGAAAGTAGGAAGGACTATAGGGAAATGAAAGGTAGGAAAGGGGTAGAGGAAGGAAGGGAAATGAAAGGTAGGAGTATAAGAAAGTAGAGGAAGGATTATAGGGAAATGAAAGGTAGGAAGAGGGGAAAGTAGAGGAAGATTATAGGGAATTAGGGAAATAGAGGAAAATAGGGAAATGAAAGGTAGAAGTATAGGGAAAGTGCATAGGAGGGAAATGAAAGGTAGAAGTATATAGAGGGAAAATAGGAAATGAAATAGAAGAAGGGAAAGTAGAGGAAGGATTATAGGGAAATGAAAGGTAGAAGTATAGGGAAAGTAGAGGAAGGATTATAGGGAAATGAAAGGTAGAAGTATAGGGAAAGTAGAGGAAGGATTATAGGGAAATGAAAGGTAGAAGTATAGGGAAAGTAGAGGAAGGATTAGGAAATGAAAAGGTATAGGGAAATAGAGGAAGGATAGGAAATGAAAAGGAAAGGGAAAGTAGAGGAATTAGGGGAAAGGAGTATAGGTAGAGGAAGGATTATAGGGAAATGAAAGGTAGAAGTATAGGGAAAGTAGATGGTAGGAAATGAAATAGAAGTTTAGAGGAAGGATTATAGGGAAATGAAAGGTAGAAGTATAGGGAAAGTAGAGGAAGGATTATAGGAAATGAAAGGTATTTAGAGAAGGATTATAGGGAAATGAAAGGTAGAAGTATAGGGAAAGTAGAGGAAGGATTATAGGGAAATGAAAGGGGGGGAGTATAGGGAAAGTAGAGGAAGGATTATAGGGAAATTAGAGTATAGGGAAAGTAGAGGAAGGATTATAGGAAATGAAAGGTTATAGGGAAAGTAGAGGAAGGATTATAGGGAAATGAAAGTCCTTAGGGAAAGTTCCTTTAGGGAAAGTAGAGGAAGGATTTAGAGTATAGGGAAAGTAGAGGAAGGATTATAGGGAAATGAAAGGTAGGAGTATAGGGAAAGTAGAGGAAGGATTATAGGGAAATGAAAGGTAGGAGTATAGGGAAAGTAGAGGAAGGATTATAGGGAAATGAAAGGTAGAAGTATAGGGAAAGTAGAGGAAGGATTATAGGGAAATTATAGGGAAAGTAGAGGAAGGATTATAGGAAATGAAAGGTAGAAGTATTCCTTTGCATGACGTTCTATAGAGAAATGAATGCTAGAGTGGAGGAAGGACTATAGGGAAATAAAAGGATATTGGAAAGGGGGGGAATAACTATTGATAATGGTAGGAGTATAGTTTCTTTCCTATTTCTTTGGAACTAATATCCCCTTCCTCCCCTTTCTCAATAGTCCTTCCGTTCCTTTCCCAGTATTCTTTTATCTCCCACTAATATTTCCTTTCCTTTCTCTATAGTCTTACCAACTTTCCCTATAGTCCTCCCATTCCTTTCCCAATAGTTCTTCCTCGCCTTTCCCATGACTTTGCCTTTACGTGTAGTACCAACTTTCTTTTCCTAATTTCCCTTACTCACATACGCGATTGTCCTTTCTTTCCTTTCTCAATAGTGCTTTCTGTCCTTACCATTCGAAAAGGCCCACTTTTCCTCTCTCTGTAAATATTCCTTCCTTCCCTCTCAATCCAATTAATGCAACTAATCAAAATGAACGAATGGCAAATATAGGGATTAGCAATGTATATAAGTAATCCAAGAAGAGAAACGTCCTTTCCCTCCCTTCTCCATTCCCCAACATCTTAGAGGCGCGGCCATGTTTTTGTTGCGAGGCCGTGAAAGTGTAATTGCTCTCAGAGAATTTTTCAAAGTAGGCTTTTGAGTAGGTAATGATGAAATAAACAGCGGGAATTAATTTCAAAGCTAAATACGCATTTTCTATCAGTAGCGCTGGAATTATGGGATGGTGACGGAGGAAACAGAGATGTAAGGGGGGGGCTGCAAATGTGATAAAAAGAGAAGAAAATGAGTAAGCTGGACAAAGATAGGAGGGGGAGAGAGAGAGAGAGAAGGAGAGGGAGTTGAAGGTAATAACATAGAGAAAGTGAGGAATAGAAAAAGGAGATAAACTCAATTGAGGGAGGGAGGGAGTGGGAGAAAGAGATAGGGTAAAAAAGAGAGGGAATGAAGAAAATTATGGCGAGAGAGAAAAGGAATGAGAGGTAAAGCAAAGAAAAGAGAAAGAGAGAAATAGAGAGAAAAATAATAATGAAAAAGGGAGGTGGAAAGAAAAGAGAAAGCAAGTAGAGACAAAAGAAGGAGTGGGTGCAAAAATAATGGAGAGGTAAATGAAGGGGGGTAACTGTATGTTGTCCTTCTCTTTACGTAATGTTTGTTAAATTTTACTAAACATTTCCATTTATATTAGTTAATATATTTTTTACTTGATAATACTATTAACTAAAAGATTGAAATTAAAACAGAATTATAAAAGACTAGCAGCATGGCCCGGCGTTGCCCATGCTTGATTTAAAAATCGTACGATTCATACAGCAATCGCTATCACTTGACTTAAAATATTTTTGCCCTTCCTTGCCTTTAAAGGAGTTCCCTTTGCCGTGCTGATGTTGCTACATGCCTTACTTCTTGCCTATCTCACATTGCGAATTTTTTCTAAGCTCTATACTAAACATTAAATCTGTTACGAAAAAAGAACTAAACAAAATGAACACAAAACGATCAGCTTTAAAAAAGGACTCGTAACTGGAAAAACCGAATGAAAAAAGAATGTTAACAACAAATACTTTTTCACACCTAACCCAGTTCTGCGGAATCAGAATCAACGTTGAGTTTAAACAAGCGAATGAGCCAATTAGAGTAAAGTGCCATGCAGATTTAAATTTTTCCCACGTGTGACGAATGCAGCTATGGAATTTTTTTGCATGCTAGCATGCTAGTTAACATTCGTGTCAGTCAGCTGTTGGCTCTCACGCTGGCCAATAGAATCTTCTTGCCTATTCGTAGCAGACAGTTATAGGCTCTCACTCTGGTCAGTACAAAATGGCCGCAAACTACATGAAAACTGCTGTAGAAGAATGAAAAAATCGATTATTTCCACTATCGATGGGAGTTGGGAAATACAAAGTCGGTTTTGGGCTTGCCGCTAACTTGAAGCATGTGCATGGAAATTTTGGCGCAAATCCGTCGAAAATTGCGGCCGTGCATTCGTTACACACACACACACACACACACACACACACACAAACACACGCATCCTGCCTTTTATAGATAGAGATGTAAAACTTAAATTATTAAATGAAAATAATTCTTGTAAAAATTAATTATTTATCGAAAAATGTTCAAAACAATAGTGTCTTTATCTTAGCTGTATTGCATTTTTTTTTTTTTTTACGATTGAGTGCAAATTTTCGGTTAATGTGGTTTCTCTTTGACAAAAAACATATTCATGATTTAAATTCTCCAAGCATTTAAATTCCCTTGTAAATAACCCCTAAAATATAGAAATCCAGCAATTGCTTGATTTTTGCAAAAATTTTCCAAAACGATATGCTTAACTCCAAAGAGGACGCTTAAAATGTCCATTGCTAATCTTTATCCACCCCCACACCGCTAACACAGGAAAAACAAGATTTTTAACCAAAATTTCGAACGTATAAAAAGGATTAAACAATTTAATAAAATAATAAAAAAAATCCTTTGGTCTTTCCTCTTAATAACAACATAAACAATTTGACGATAAAACTTTTTTTTCATCATGGTATGCTTCTTTTTTCAGCGAATTAGTAAAGGTATATACGTGATATTGTTATATAATTGGTTGGTTGGTTGGTTCTGTCAAGAACCTTATTGGGACGCAATTTTGGGTCCTTCAGATCTTCAAGGAAAGAAGTACTTGATGTTGAACATTTCTCTAATATGAGCCATGAGAAAAGTAGATTGTTGAGAAGAAGAAGAAGAAGAAGAAGAAGAAGAAGAAGAAGAAGAAGAAGAAGAAGAAAAGAGCTACAATAAAATAGAGAGAGGGAAAATTGCGGGGAAAAAAGGAAGAGACAATGAAAAGCAATAGAATGTCTGGTCATTAAAAAAGATAAAAACTAGAAAATGACGAGGAAAGGACAAGGCAAATGAGAGGCGGAGAAAAGTGAAGAATAAGGAGAGTGGAGATAAAAGAAAAGGGCGGGGTCTCCTTCGTGGAGGTAAAACCAGCCCAGAACCCGTTTATACGGGTTCAAATGGGCTATTTTTTGGCCGAGCCTAATGGCTCGGGAATGCCCACGTTAAAAAGGCCTTGTGCCACATGACACTCTCGTGGTGGTGGGGGGGTGACTGAATATCGTCAGTCGTTCAACTCAGAACTGGCTGTTCGGTTAAACTCTCTTCCTACGGTGGGAGGAACCCGAAGGAGGCTACGTCGAAGGGCGGAGTCTCCTTCGGGAGGTTAAACTGGAACCCGTTTATACGGGTTCAAAACGAACATAATGGTTTGGAATTGCCCACGTTATACGGGTCAGTCGTTCAACTCTGAACTGACTGTTCGGTTAAACTCTTTTTGGCTGAAGGAGGCTACGCCGAATGGCTCCTTCGGGAGGAATTGAACCCGTTTATACGGGTTCAAATGGGCCATTTTTTGCCGAGCATAATGGCTTGGGAATTGCCCACGTTAAAAGGCCTTGTGATGACACCTCGTGGGGGGTGACTGAATATCGTCAGTCGTTCAACTCTGAACTGACTGTTCGGTTAAACTCTCTTCCTACGGGCGGGAGGAACCCGAAGGAGGCTACGCCGAAGGGCGGAGTCTCCTTCGGGGAGGTAAAACCAGCCCTGAACCCGTTTATACGGGTTGAAACGGGCATATTTTTGGGTCGAAACCACGGGCTCGGGTAAACCCACAATAAACAACCGACCTTGTGTCACATGTTGCCCCAGTGGTGGGTGGGGGAGACTGAATGTTGTCAGTAGTTCAAGTCGAGTCAAGAGTCGAGTCAGAGGCAGTCCGAAACAGAGTCGCGTACAGACAATTACTGCAAGACATTGGAATAGTGATACTGGTCGAGACTACATTGTTCTCTCTACTAAACCTGATTGTTCATACTAACACTTCTACTTCTCTGTATATATTCCTGTTGTAATATATCTGTGTTATTCCATGCCTTTGTTCGAGTTCTTCTTTATTGGTTCTACCTTCGACTATCACCGTGGTATAAGGAACCGGACCATAACAAGTGGCGACGAGAATGAGTTTCGAACTCACGCGGAAAAACACCTGCTACGCAAAAGTTTCGGAAGGGGGGTGTTATGGGATCTTACTCATAATAATAATAATGGAATATTTCATACTTAATGAATACTGCGCCTCAGGAGTAGGCAAGGGGTCAGTAGTTCAAGTCTTGAACGACAGATCGGTTGAACTCTCTGCCTTCGGACGGGGAGGAACCCGAAGGGGGCTACGCCGAAGGGCGGATTCTCTTTCGGGGAGGTAAACCGACCCTGAACCCGTTTATACGGGTTAAAATGGGTATATTCTTGGCCGAGCCTACGGGCTCGGAGATCCCACGTTAAAAAGGCCTTGTGCCACATGACGCCCTCGTGGGGGGTGACTGAATATCCTCAGTAACTCAAGTCGAGTCAAGAGTCGAATCAGAGGCAGTCTCAAAAAGAGTCGCGTTCAGACAATTACTGCAAGACATTGGAATAGTGATAATGGTCGAAACTACATTGTTCTCTCTACTAAACCTGATTGTTCATACTAACAATTCTACTTCTCTGTATATATTCCTGTTTGTAATATATCTGTGTTATTCCATACCTGTGTTCGAGTTCTTTTTTATTATTTCTATACTGGACAATAACCGTGGTACAAGGAACCGGACCATAACAACATCGAGGAAAAAGAAAGAAAGAGAGAGAGAGAGAGAGAGATAAAGAAAATTAGAGAGATTAGGGAACAGAGAGAAATAATTGGAAAAGAGAGAAAAAAGGGAAAAAGAAAGGCTAGACAGAGGAGAGAATAGAAAGAACGAGAAATGAATAAGTCAAGGTAATACAAATATAGAAAAAAGAGAGAGAAAAAGTGGGAAAAGAAGGAGGAAAGAAAGAAAGAGATAGAGAAAAGCATGAGGAAATAAAGAGAGATAAAGATATGAGAGAGTGCTTAAGGGATAGAAAGAATGTTAACTCGTCGTGGTGTAATGGTTAGCAAGCTTGGTAGATCGAGTACGACTGAATAGTGAGTTCGATCTTCATTGGGTTCCCCTTAAGTGCTACATCTAAGCTATGCTTCACATATCACCCTATTGGATAGAAAGAAAGGGAGAGAAAAAATACAACGAAAGAGAAAAAGGGAGAGAGAGAGGAAAAGAAAAGACAGCAAGTAGAGCCAGAGAAGAAAAAAATTAAGTATAGGAGAGATAGACGATAGAGTGAATGCAAAAATTTTAAAAATAAGCGAAAGAAAAGAGAAAGGAAACAGAAGTTCTGGGTTAATTATCAACATCCAAATATCCTTAAAGCAATTAAAGAAAGAAATGAAAAATGTACGCAATGCGACAGACAACCGGAAGTAGATTAGAGAGATGTCCCTACGGCTAATTCCTTTCGAGGTTACCCCACTTAACTTGCCGCTAGGGGTTCGCTCCTTAAGCCCATCTCTCTAGTATATCGTTTACAGATGTTTTGATCCGGATTTCAGATATAATCACACGAGGGTAATAACTGACCCCTAATAGGTTTCTCTCTTGATTTTCTACTGTCTCTCTAATATGCTTGTTAGAAAACGTTTATCAGAGGTTAGATCGATTTATTACACGCACGCGAACACACACACACAGACACAAGCACACAGACACAAACACACATTTTTATTATAACTAGTTTCCTTTTTTTTCTCCTTTTTGTCACATTTAATTTTTTTGTTAAGACATTCACTGCTATTTTTTTTATATTTATTGTTTTGAGTTACTCATGTTTTATTTGGACTCACACTGAGTCAATATTGTTGTCCGTAATTGGTATCCATAATTGGTGCCCGTAAATCTCCAAAACATTGATTCTCACAGCATAATGGTGACTAGATATTTACCCAATCATATCATCATTCTTGCAACAAGACCAAGACCTCCAATGCTTGCTCTTCTTGTGCGGACCTAGAGAATTACTATCACTTTTATCCGCCTCTGTCTCGTGGCCGTTGATGAAGTCACAGCAAAAAGTGAAGGATAAAATAATCACAATTGATTTATAGTGGCTGGTGATAAAGTTACCAATTTCTGGTGGGTAATTCACGAGTTTATGGAGAATATTGGTATTAATTTTAATAGAATGAGTGCTACAAAATAAAGAAGTTTTATTTCCTTTTTTTACAACACAAAAACTTGTGGAAAAATCTGAGAACAAAGACTGAATCGTTCATTTTTTTTTAAATCTCTGCGAGTTGTAGTGAAGTATCACCAGTCGCGTGGATTTAAAAGCAATATCGCTAAGTTGAGGGTCGTAATTTGATATTGTTCGTTTCAGCGGTCAAGGAAACAGGCTGCTGAGAGACACAGTTGTATTCATCTTGTAAACATTTCTAAGTTTGAAAATTTACTCGTTTTTATATTGTTCTGATGGGCTCACGCACACGCGTGGTAGCTCCACAATTTTCTTACGAAGTTACCGCTTATTTTTTGTACACCCGATTTGGTCAGAAAATGTGGTCGAGTGTCTTATTTTTCTTATCTATTAAGATTTGCGCCAAAGTTGATCCGATTTTTCTCGAACCTTCCTTGATGGGGAAATTACACCATTTCCTATAATGTGTCCGCTTTATTTACGGCAGAAACACATAATGAATTAATCCAACCTCTGATAACCGATTTCTAATAATGGTCTTTGGGTGATATATTACATATTAAGAGAGTCGTAATTATCTCATGATATAAAGAAAGCCTTAAAAAGGGGTTTTAAAGTTTGCGACAAGACATAAACAAACGACGGAAGTTAAATACGAAAACAGATTAAACCGAAAAAAGTTTTCTAACAACGCTACGGTCACATATTCGATATATTTTATATTTATGGAATCGCAATATCCCATGAGATCCGACTTTATTGGAATAAAGTCGCAATTAGACATTAATATTTCATTTGAAAGTTCCTTGAATTTTCAATTTATTTATAAAAATAGAAATTTGTCCACTTTTGCGATAAGAGGATGGGATTTAATTCGCTGTTTTTTTGCCCCCGCCGTGCGCTAACCTTGTCATGCATGCAGTAAGAGTAACGGTAAAGGCAGTGCAACGACTTAGATTTGAAACGCTTCCGTCTCCCTCTTACAGCCCGGATCTTAGGCTCTTTGAAGACGGCTTTACACAGTCTCAGAGTCAAGTCGGATGGTCAGGCCCAGTAAGGTCCGAGGATATGATTTCATGAGCAACCGAAAATATTCTGTTCGGAAGGGATGACGAAGCTTGTTGAACGATATTAGAAGACTATCAAGGTGCGTTCGGTGGGGGAGCAATATCGAAAAGTGACCTACGCATTAGTGCTTCATCAGTGGATATAAAGGTGTGGTTAGTTATTTTGTACCAGGACGTATCTTGGTATTTATTTTTAGGAAAGTTTGGAATAAAGCAACTGGATGTCAGTAAAATAAATAATATATTTTATATTTATTTGAACTAGAGTGAGTCCTTCGGCATTCGGGGTAGCAAAATGTTCGTTTATAATGCGGATATTGATAGCAGTCTGGAGAAATGTCCGTTTCGCTTCGGTAGTGAGTAATTTTGAAGTCAAACCTTACTAGTGATAGTAATCATATTAAAATAGGTAAGTGTCAATCTACTGTTTTTTTTTTTCAGCCCTCAGAATGACAGAAAATATTATGGCTTGGTTTTCTCGTGGTAGAGTTTTTTGTTATGTTTCATGACTTCCTTTATTCCTCGAGCTCAAATCTCTCAGCTCAGAGCTGTCGGCTTCTATCTTTTTGACCAGGCGAGAACCTTGGTTTCGGCTAACATCAAAAGTATCTTTTCTTCTTTTTTTCGATTGAGCAAAATTATTTTATTTTCCGGTGTTGTTTATTTTATTTTCCGGAAGTTATACGTGGAGCCTGTCTTATTTTTGTAGATTATAGTCATAAATATATAGGCACTAGTTCCGTCATTTTCGGACGCTTTCAGTCTTGTCTTCCTCTTCATTTTTTTTATTTGAGGGTTGCCTTCTCGTTAGTTAAGAGAGAATTATATAAAGTTTAGAAAGAAAGAAAAAAAGAAAGAGATATGTCTTTTAAAAGAAAACTGCAGTTATAACACGACCGACCCGGCTCAATCCTGTGTTATTCTCACGCAGGTCACTACAATCGCCGGTCAGCTGAAGATTATCTCTTTACCGCTTCGTTTCTTCATCTGCTCTGTCCACGTTGTGTTCTTTAATCACAATGCAGTGAAGATAGAACTTTAGTCACAATTAAGCTCTGAATTGAGTTGGCGGAGTCGTCCTATGAAAAAGGACAAGGATGCTTCTGACGGTGAAAACTAAACACCATTACAAATAAAGAAGAAGGGCGTTAAGTTAATTTTCATTTAGTTTTTATAATTGTTGATGCAACAAATTTAACCCTTCCCATTTGACTCTCTATCATGACACTGTATCTCTTGCTTCTAAGGCTTGGGGCAATTTAAACATTCACACAAGATGATAGGTCGGGCAAACTCGTCGGCAAGTCTCATGGGGTTCAACAGTTCTCACGTTCGCTGATGATTCGTGTAAGCCTTCTCCAATGCTCGTAATGCCAGATTCAACCGATCATTCACTATATATGCATCTCGTCCAACTACCCCTAAAATCTCATTACGTATTCATCAATTAATTATTTTCTCTAACCCTAGAGACATGACATCGACCCTAAACAAAGCGGACTGGTATTTCAAAACAATAAAATTTGTTTCCACATTTCTCAACAATAGGCCGTTTTAAACAATACCTTTTTTCGTCAACAAACTTGTGTGTTTAAAAGTTATTTCAAATCGGCAATTTCTTTTGTTTGTCGATTTCGAAATTCGACCCAATTCCAAATTTCATTGTTTAGATTGTTTGGTTTTATATAAATTCGACCCTCTGCCAACAATGCTCTTCAGTTATTAAAAGAGTCAACTGCAAGAATTTTCTATATCGATTTACCAATTCGATTTAAATATTCCATACGGCTATCAGCCGTTTTTATCAAAACGAAATTACTTATCAATCAATAAACTTGTGTGTTTAAATATTATTTCTCAAGAATTTCTCTTTGTCGAATTCCAATTAATTTTTTCTTTGTTGACTTAACAACACGACCTAAATAATTCTTTGTCCATTTTCAAAACACACTCCAGATTATTTATATTTCTCCAAACCATATTTTGGACTCCACATTCCATTTGACGTTTCTGTTTATCAGAAAGGAAAAAAAGAACATTTTTTTCCTCGTTTCATATTTCAATTCGTGTTTTCACTTTAACGTTTTAAAGCCTTCCAATTCACCAAATCTATACGGAGTTTTCACATGAAACCTTTTAATCTTAATTTCATACTTCTAGCGTCATGATAGTGTCACATTCTATTCAACTAGTACCAATGGTACTTGATAGTGTCACACAAAGGCTTTATTTTAATGGGAATTCTTTTTGTTTTGTTTATATATTTTATTTTATTTTTATCGGGATCAATTTTAAGATAACAGTATTGTAATTTTATCAATGGGTGTGATTAAAAAAATCTGAAATGTCACTTGGTTAGATAACGTAAAGACATTAATTTATGAATGGATTATTTAAATACAGTTCGCCTCAAGCAAGGTGATATAATAAACGATAGAGGCTAGTAGCGGTGAAAGATAATGAAAAAAGATTTTAGAAGGAACCGGAAACTCAATCATAATCTAGAACCATTGCATAAACCTTTATTCCTCTTCAAAAGGCCGATGAAGAGAGAGAACCGGACGATAGGGGATCTCTTATTTTGCCCCCAAAATTCTCGGGTTGATGAAGATGCCCTTCCAAAAGATATATATGGGATTTGGTCAGAAGTGGGCAGAATTGGGTAATTTTTAGCGCACCTTTCGTAATGACATTGATTTACGAAGGGAATGCTGAAATATTCTCAGGTTGACCAAGAAGCCCATCAAAATATTC